CGTCCCCCCTTCGGCAGCACCGCGGGCTGCCAGCACAGCCGCCCCTGAGTGCATACGCCCGGCAGCAGCCATCAGCACCCAGCAGCAGCGCTTCCTTCACCAGCATTTCGGCCCCGTCCCGCGAGCCTCGGAAGAATATTACTCGTTCACCCTAGAAGGCCTCACCTAATAAAGCCAATTAGTTCAGCTCGTGTACACAAGTCCCATATCCTGCACGACAGTGTTTTTGCTATATTTCTCACTTGCTACCAGTCAACTACTACTCCACACTGAACTGTATTTCCCCTTCATTTTTTTCCTCATTCAACATAGCATTATTCTGGTGACATCTTTTCCCCACCTTCAGCCAACCTCTCTTTCAAGAGCCTTTGGCTAGTTTAACACAAGCGCTTCCCATCTAAGATAAAAGGATCAGTGCTATTACTTTGAAAGTAAAGGCTTAGATCCCCTTTGGGGCATAACACTGGAAAGTAAGTGTCTGAGGGGATGCCAGCTGCTGTGCAGAATTATTGTCAGGTCATGAAACATCTTCCCCACGTCGTACGTAATCGAGGGAACGCTAAATGTCATACGGCACCCAAATGCAGTGATTCTAGGCACACGTTGATCGTCCTCAACTTCCCCTGCTTCACCCTCCTCCAGTCCGTTTGAAAGTAAACACAAGAAGTTCAGATAGCGTTTCTAAAGCTACAAAGAACGAGAAGAAAATGAGGAGGAAATGTGGAGAAACAAAAAGCTTGGTGGAAACTTAGTTGCTGGAGGAAGAAGAAAAAAAACCTCACCTGGCTTTGACTGTAGGCTAGAAGGTGTTGTCAAACACGACTGTAAGCCATTCTGAGTGGTGTATTTCACAGTTACAACAAATCTATGTTTTCACATTCTCGTTTTTAAACGGTGGGGAGACAATAGCCGGCAGTGTGAGGCAAGTGGTACAAAAGGTATGCGTTTGTAAATATTTACTCATAGTTCTCCCTTGAGAGACGTACATCAGAGGGTATTAACCTGTTTGAACGCACTATTAGATTTGTTGTGCTCTCAGTAATTATTAACATTTACACTAAAACTCATCTCAACTTTGCTTGAATTCAAATTACCCATGGAAAATAAGATAAGCGTTTAAGAACAAGCATCAATACCACACAACTCTAATAAATATAGGAGCAAAATAATGGCTTATCTAATGGAAACAAGAAAGACTTTTATACAGGAAGGATGCTACTACTGAAACTGTATTTTATTAAGATTACCAGCTATGTCTGTTCAATGTGATATATAATCATTTTTGACCAGAAGTGGTTACAGATTTAGTTTCCTTTGTCCTAAATAATAAATCACCGTTTATAATGTTTTGAGTCATTAGTATAGCTAAGACTGTTAAAAGTTCTGTGACTCCACAAAGGTGTCAGGGATTCATACGGCTCATAGAAAACACGTGCCTCTAGTTTTCAAGAATGAAAATAATTTTATTAATTGCACTTTCTTTGCAATCTCCAGACACCA